CCCCCCCCCCCCCCTACCAGATCATGCTGGATCCATCCCTGTTGATTATGTTGTGTGATAACACTGTACAGATATTGCTAACTTAATTTAGTGGAAGGTAAATACTAAAATCACTACAGAATACTGGTGGTATGTACCACAGTATATTAGGTTTACCAATAATTTTGAAAAATTGAGTTTTTTATGGTAATTTTAAATTTAATTACTCAGTGAGATTCCTGAATAGTAGAAATGTTGCATCGCTTAGAAAAACTGTTGGTGAATGTAAATCATGTTGGTTTGCAAACTTATTTTCAAACTTTCTGATTTTACGGGCATTAAGCAGAAAAAAGTACCAAAAATAAGGAATTTTATTCGTTGTTTATAACACGATTATTTTTAAGAATTTTATGAAAATAACCATTTTTCATTTTTATATGACCATTGACACTAAAACTAATATACCGGTATATTCTCAAAAATAAAGTATATAGCATGTTTTCTTCAAATTTTATAAGAGAATAAATTAAAAAAACTGGTATTCTGTGTGGTACTGTGATATTCTGTGGTACATACATGGCCGTTGTGTGGGCAACACGTATTTCATTTCTTGATGTGTTGTCGCAGTCCCTCCTTAATTTCTTCCGAGGGACTGCTTGCACCTGTACACAAATTATTGCAACGTATCTTAAATAGACTGCAAGCAGTCCCTCAGAAGAAATTAAGGAGGGACTGCGACAACACATCAAGAAATGAAATATGCGTTGCCCACGTACGACGCAAAATTGAAAATTCCCATTGGTCGAAATCAATGTGCCTGTCAATCAAATCTGATATGTAGTAAGAAATTATGCCATACATTAAATAATTTCCAGACTGAATGTTGATTTTATAAATAAACATGACATTAACGGTTCCTCATAAGTAATGTTTATGCAAAGGAGCCAGCTTGACAAGAGCGAAAAGAGGCATATTTCATTGATGTGTTGTCGGCAGTCCCTCGATCCTTTCCCCTTGCACGCCTGGGAAGGAAAACCCATGGCCATGGAAGGGAGGGACAAACCGCTCGCAGTCTACATGCACCCTCAATTACATCATGGGTAAAGGTTGTCACAGGTTGGTGACAAGGACAAAATTCATTATGGTTAATGATCATATATTTAATTCACAATTCTAAATTAGTGGGGTGCGGGAAGCATAGGGCACATTCCAGTTAAGTGCCAGGAAGATTACCTACTGTCCTAGGCACATATTGCAGCATAATGAGTTTAGTAGGGGTCAATAGCAGGGAGAGGGGGGGGGGACCATATTAGCCATTATATTGGGCATGTATATTGCAGCTCAATGAATTTAGATACAAAATTACAACTCCTATATATAACCATTTTGCCTGAATTTCTATAGAAATTGCTAGTATATTGTCATATAAAATCATTGTTTCAGTAACAATTATTCATAATGCTGCATATTTACATAAAGGTAATAAGCTATGCGATAAGAGAACAAATAAGAATAGTTGACATATTAAACACAAAGTCAATAAAGTCATATTACACATTTGACAGTTCTAGACTAGCAGTAAAGAGGGTCTGAATGGGGTTAACTGACTACAGACATTTGCCTGAATTTTTGACTGACAACTGACAAAATATCCTAACTGACTACTGAGAAATGATGAAAAAAATTATAAGTCAGCATTTTGCAGTAACTCGACTACTGACAGCTTGCAATATATCGCACTGACAACTGACAATTGGCTTAAATTTTAGCTGGCAACTGACACCCAAAGACCCCCATTATTAAGACCCTCAGTAAAATTGAGATTGAACCTGATTAATATACGTACTGTACCTCTATTAAACTTTCACATCATATTTACAATTTATCATTTCAGAGATAGTATAAAACATAGAATTTGATTTATGATCATCTTTTATCGATGAAATGGTATATTTCTATCGTATTAAATAAAGGCAGCAACGGCAGCAGGTATTTTTATAGATATATCATTTAATATTTATAAATAAACACAGTCGACACTCACAACTATTTTTCTGACTTGAAGTACTTCATGTTACTGTAAGAGAAACCAGAAACCAATGTCATTCTGTGCCGATGTTTTTTAAGGGGGCGGGCCATTAGATATTTTTGGCGCGGGGGGGGGGCACAGGCGGCCCAGACGTGTATCACTGTATAGTAAATATATCATTATAGAACATACTACACAGTAAAATTTTTAATGAATTTTATATTTTAAAACCATATTTACTTGCCTACTTTGATTGTATGTGATCGTCTTTTATTTCTGAGCGACTTTACATTCGATGCCTGCGACTGTCTTCATAGGTGATAGTATTGAAAGCAAAGGCTAACGATTCCAGTTCTCAAACAGTCGACACGAACAATTCAAATCGAAAAATATCCCCTTCAAATTGCTTTGTTCCCGGTAAAACTTCGCCAGCGTATAGAATAAACACCCATCTTCGAACATACAAAGCAATATTAACACGTCCTATAATTTTTGCAATGGATTTTTAGCGAAATGTTTCGAGACTAAAATTCTATGGAACTTAGAAAGCCCGATAATTACTACGGCGTCTGCTTGGCCACCTAGCCTCCTTTACCGTTTGGATTGTCAGGGGGGGGATTCAAATAAAAAACACCTATTTCCGGCAACAGCCAGCCAATCAACGCCGCGATACCGACTGTTTACAATTTTACAATATTTGAAATCTGATATTGTAATTTATCAACAACAAAACTCTTTCGATCGATGGATCGTATAGTATAAGATAGAAAGAGATTTTTTGCAAATTACAATATCAGATTTCAAATATAGTAAACCGTCGCTATCGCGGCATTGATTTGCTGGCTGTTGCTGCTGTATTGGGCCTGATTTGCAGCGGGCAGGATTGAGGGCCTGCCACGCAGGCTAGTCATATTCGCTAGCGGATTTGGACCGGGGGGTCCATTTTGAGGGGGGTCCAAATCTGCTGGGACACCGGGGCAGAGAGATTATTAAAAAAAGGTTATCAACTTTAAGGTTAGGGGTTAGAGTTGGGACTTGGGGTTAGGGTTAGCGTTAAGATTATGGTTAGGATTAGTGTTTGCATGGAGTAGGGTTATTGTAATTGTAGACCCATTACAATCTAATACTTTATTGCATACAATGGCTTTACAACGCAAATAGATATATTGGTTACAACGTGTGGAACGGCTGAATTGGGATGTATAGCTTTGTAGGCATGGACTTGCAACTGTTCTCATTGAATTTTTGAATAAAAGGTTGTCTCATTATGGTGTATTTGGTTGAATTTCATCCAATGACCAATATATTACTGACTTTAAGAAAAATTACTAAAACAATTACCAAAAATTTTCAATTACCAAAAAGTCCAAAAAATCGCGAAATATTACCAAAAATAACTAAAATTACCAAATCTGGTCACTCTGCGACGCAAATTCCTTTCAGTGCTACAAATATCATGTTTATTCAGGCGCTTTTTAAAAAATTTTTTTCGACCATTATCATTGCCCTTTGGCTGCTTTGGGCAGTTTGAGGGCTTTTCGGCTTTGCCGCTTTCGGTAATTGGGTATGAATGAATCCCTGGAGAGGAAAAACCATTCAATGGGAAAAACAGAGTCCAGAGCCAGTGCAATCTCGTTCCCCGAGCCTGCGATCCTCAGGAAGGAACACGAGGCTCTGGGATAATCCGTTGCCGGAAGCCAGGAATCCTGGCTAAAATTGAACTGCGCATTCCATTTTAACGGCCAATCAGATTCCTCCCTGAAACGAATTATCCCAGAGCCTCGCGTTCCTTCCCGAGGATCGCAGGCTCGGGGAACGAGATTGGAGCCAGTGGTAAAATGTTTGCTGTCGTAACCAATCCCCCATGGCGCACAAAATTTTTAGGGCAAGTTTACTGGCGCATATATCCGGCGGGCAAATTACGAACTTTCCACTATGGACGCCAAGCGACGAAAAACTACAACGTCTGCGGGCAGGCTTGGGGGGTGGAAGAAAAAATATCTTGCAAACTCAGAAACAAAGAAAAAAAAACATCCCGGGAAAATTTGAAAAAATAATATCGTACATTGTCTGTGTGGTACTGGTTATAAAATTTTTTGCAAATTTATTGTTTTGTCCACTGAACTGTATACATACAAGTCCACAATACCAATTCAATTGCACATCCTTTGGTGATAACAGAATATTAAAGAATATAATTTTAATTTTAAAAGAATGTACGTCTTCTGTATACAGCCAAATCAAAAAAGGTTAGTTGTTGTAGTGTACTCGTCCTTTGAATGACAAAATATATTTCCCTTTATCGTCAACACGTTATTGTATATACATACAAAGCTTACGTCATAGTAAATCATCATAACTAATTATTCAAAGTCTCAACATCTCCCTCGTTCAGGAAGACTTAATAAATGTCATAACAAATTGTTCACGAAGAAAAGTTCTTAACTAATGTTTGTTTTTTTTTTAATGTTTTTTCAATGTACTCAAATTGCTCTGGAAACGTTAATTCGAGCTCAGTCCATAACGCTGCGGCTTACGTACTACCCGTCCGTATCTCGTGATCTGGTTTCCTTCCGCATCTATACATTTCTCTTCATCATTCGGCAGGTTTTCTGTGTGCAGAGTTTCTTCTTCTAAATCCTCAGTTTCTTCTTCTAAATCATCATTGACCGAGTCATCGTGACCTTCGTTCGTCCTCAAGAGATGTCGTCGGTTTCGTCTATAAATGCGACCATCTGGAGTCTGTACCAGATAAGATTGTGGTACTGTACCATGTTGCTCAATGACTGTCACAGGTAACCACTTTCCCTGTCTTCGCATTCTTGCAACATCTCCTTTGTGAAGGGGTGGTAATACTCGAGAGCCAACATCGTAGTATTTCTTCTGTATTCGTTGTCGGGATCTCAACTCTTTGGCAGCGTTTGAAGGAACTTGTGGCTGTAACAATGGGGTGATGGTCGGAAGACGAGTCTTAAGTCTACGGCTCATTAGCATGCTGGTGTGCTGGTGATTTCATAACACTATCCAGAGGGCTGTTACGGTATTCCAGGATAGAGAGATATGGGTCTTGACCACTTTCGTCAGCTTTCTTCAGTAATTTTTTTAGTGTTTGAACTGTTCTTTCAATTTGTCCATTGGACTGAGGGTATTCGGGGCTTAAAGTAACGTGACGAAATTCCCAAAGTTTGGAGAAGTTGTTGAACTCAGCACTGGGGAACTGCGGACCATTATCGCTGACGACCTCATCTGGTATGCCATGACGAGCAAAGATGGACTTTAATGTAGTGATGGTTGCTGAACTCTTTAAACTAGGGAGCTTGGACACTTCTGGGTACTTCGAATAGTAGTCAACGCATAGAAGATAGTTAGTGTTCTTAAACTCGGACAGATCAACTGCTATCTTTGCCCATGGCCGGTCTGGTATTTCATGATGAATCAAAGGCTGTTTGGCGTTGCTGTTTCTGTTTTCGTTGCACGTTGGACACTTCGAAACCATTTCTTCGATTTCAGCCTGGAATGGGCCAGAAGAGTATTTCCCGCGCTCTCTGCTTGCATTTAACGATTCCCAAACGAGCTTGGTGTATTCTTTTCAGCATTTCACCTCTCAGGACTTTCGGGACGATCAGTTTCAGGTTTCTGAACAACAGCTGGTGCATATACGTAAACTCATTTTGGTATGACCAGAACTCTCGGATGTCAGGATGCACTTGATTTTTTCTATCGGGCCACCCATGAAGTACCACAGTCTTCAAGTGCTGTAAAGCTGTATCTTGCTCTGTGGCATCTTGGAGTTCTTTCAGCTTTTCTGGGGAAGCTGGCAGATCCAGATCTAAAAGGCGACTTCCAATTCTTCATCAAGAAGATCTTCTTTCTCTTCATTTAGGTACGCTCGGCTTAGTGTATCAGGGAGGTACATTTCTTTGCCAGGTTTGTAGATTACTTCCATGCTGTAACGTTGGAGCTGAAGCAACATTCTCTGTAATCGAAGTGGTGTCTGATGGAAGGGCTTTCTTAAAACAGCTTCAAGTGGTTTATGATCGGTTTCCACTTTGATCGTTTGACCATAGATGTACTGATGGAACTTGTTGCAACTGCAACCACAGACTACAGCAAGCAGTTCCTTTTCAATTTGAGCATATCTTTGTTGAGTGCTTGTAAGGGCTCTCGATGCATAGGCGATAGGTTGTTGTTCTTGCATTATCACTGCCCCAAGGCCTTGTGAACTGGCATCGACCGAGAGTGTTACAGGAGAATTGACATCATATCTCAGCACTGGTGTTGAAGCAATTTGCGTCCATGTTGTAAATAGTACTTGTGAATTTCATTATGAACTTTTGAACTTGGCAACGAATATGCGAAGTTCGGAACGAAGTTCGGAATCTTACGATGAAAAGTCAGCTGAAATTGACTGTAAACTTGTTGATTCAATATTTTAAGATTCACGCCAGTTGTACCAAAGGTTATAAGCGCTAAAGCGCTATATCTCATCATAAGTTTCAGAAGGCATGCAACATGTACGCACTGCGTACCTATTTTTATTTTTGTCCACCTTCATGAAACAAGGTAGCCTGCGTAGCGGCTATCAGAGAAAGGACAGCCTGCACGAAACGCCACGCTTTACCGTATTTACTCGTTCTCTCCGAAGACGAGAAATCTGATTGGTTCAAATTGAAAAAATATGCTAATTTATGCTAAAATTCATACAAACACGGCGGATGTATTCGTTTCTTTCAGTTTTGCATTCAAAAGAGCTTAAAGGCTACAATTTACGGTTGAACAATAAAGGTATTTACGAACTTGGTTCACGAAGCTCTAGAGATATTGACCGTGGTGTCTTCGTTGGATTGCAGTCTGTTAGCAGCGCCTCTTTCACAAGCGTGTTCGTTTTCATCAATTCATCGACGACAAATAGATTTTTTCTTCATGATTTTGTAGCTAATAATTTTGTACCAGGAGAGAATTGCTGTAAATGCTTATGTCTTATGAACAGGACTTGCTCTCTCTGAAGTGATGGCTTTCGACACCTTTAATATTCTCTTCTCTGCATCGCTCGAAACTTTAACATTTAATACATCACGGTTGACCGCTGTCGAAACTATAAATTATATTTGTACGTGTGCACTGTGCGAGAAAGCTACGAAATATCGTAGATACGGATTGCAAACTACTTGTGACAACGATGAAGATTGCCCTAGGCCTAGCGCTATTCCCACAGACTTCAATTTTCTTTAGCCGACATCCGTATATTTATTTCGTTTTGAAACTTGCGAACATACAGCAATCTATATTTATATTTCATTTTGACAAGTAAATTTGCAACGTAAACAATCTGTGTGATTGGCCGATTTTGACATCTGTTTAAAGCTGGGAAACAATATTTTCTGGTTTGCCCACCATGGGGAAACATATATATAGCTGGGAAATAATGTTTCCGTCAACAATTTTCACAGCTTGCCCTGGGATGTTCTGCGCGTGGAAAATGCACGCGCGACGTTAATTAAAACATGTCATTCAATTAATTGCGCGCTCACACTAATTAGAAGCTCGAGGGGATACCATTAGTCGTTGAGTGAGTTTACGCACCATCACTCAAATAATTGCGCGATGTTTTTACGCATTCTAGTGTGCATTGGCTTCATTGCGTTTGCCATACAGACATCAAGCGCTTGGTATGTGGTCAGGGAGCTTGCGGCTAATGAGATATGCGTTAACAGCACGATAAAAATGGCTGGCAATGCAAATTGTCCTGTTCCAACGTTTCCTATTGTGAACTCCACAGCTAACTTCGATGGAGTGGACAAATTGACAATGCTAGATGCAATGACGTCTCAACAGGTATGAGAAATTTTATATTATTATATATCACTGCTTTTAGGAACGATCTTACTTATATGCGCAAAGGGCCTTACTTATTCATATAATTCACATGTAAGCCGATTACAGACGAACAAGTTTTCTATGACAAGTTTTTAAGTGACAAGTTTTATTGCACGTGTGTATACGCAACAAATTTTATATGATAACTTTTCATATGGCAAGTTTTATTTACTGGTGAACGCGTGTCAACAAGTTTACTTTGACAATTTATTAGTGGCCAGCAATGTAATAGTAACAGCGGACAACGCGAGCGCTGGCCAATCACAACAAATGCTCAGATTACTTTTAGTCGAGGACCTGTATATGAGTTTGTATGCATTTCATTTAGGACAGATAATCTCAACTGTTTTAGGGCAAGTTGACCATGACGGTCAACATGGTAACGCTGCCCGAACCCCAATCCGGGGCGAAACTGACCACACCCAAAAATGACGCTTTCACCATACTGCTATCTACCAAACCATAAAAGCTTTGGCTATTCTGAGTTGCTTATATGGTTCAGAGATGGTACTTTTGGGGGTGGTCATTGGTAAGTATGAAATGCCTAGCACTAATATTTCACAAGAAAATGGCCACGCAATAATCATAGTTAAACGTCAATTTGTGGCTTGCAAATTCAGATAAACAGCAGTGGACTTACATTACCTTTTTCCCTAAATCTTTTTTATAGAAACATAAATGTTACTTATTTAAATATATTATCACTAGTTTGGTGTAAAATAGTTAATATTTTCTGACCGAAATAATAATTTGAAATGTGCCTACCTCCTGCAAATGGACGTATTTGGCCAAGTTCTCCACTTTACTCCGCTGTTTATCGGCGATCTCGTCGACATCCTACAAAAAATGTAAATCATCTCAGACATAATGGTATCAAGAACATTTTAAACAAGTTTCAACTTGGTTTCAAGTAGATCATACCTGTTTAACCATCGACAAGGTAAATCCACAACTTTGTCCAAATTCGGCGCCATTTTGTCATCCCATGTCGGTTGTCAACAATTCGGCCTTGTTACTCTTCCATTCACGCCATATCCATTGCACCAATAACAAATTTAACCCTTTGTTAAGGGTATTAAAATAAAAATACAAATGAAATATGCGAAATGCAGCATTTTATCACCCGGTAAAATGTTGCTTACGAGTCCTTCAAAACATTTCGTACAAATCTCGCGTGGTTTAGCAACAGGGACGTGACAGGGGGGGTAGAGACTTGAAAAATGAAAGCAAAGCCCCACACAGTATCGTAAAACCATTAAACCAACAATCAGCATTTAATTTGTATGACTTGTTCATATTAATAAATAATAATATGTATATATTTGTCGCTACAAGAAATAAAACAAACGTTTGTATGATTGTCTTTAGCTTTTAGTCTATTTCACGCAGCCTTCTTCTATCTTCGTGAAATAATTCACCCCCCCCTGTCACGTCCCTGTTACTTTGTCACGCGAGATTTGTACGGAATGTTTTGAAAGACTCGTGAGCAAGATCTTACAGGGTGATAAAATGCTGCATTTCGCATATTTCATTTGTATTTTTATTTTAATACCCTTAACAAAGGGTTAAATTTGTTATTTGTGCAATGGAAATGGCTTGGATGGAAGAGTAACAAGGCTGAATTGTTAACAAGCGACATGGGATGACAAAATGGCGCCGAATTTGGACAAAGTTGTGGATTTACCTTGTCGATGGTTAAACAGGTATGATCTACTTGAAACCAAGTTGAAACTTGTTTAAAATGTTCTTGATACCATTATGTCTGAGATGATTTACATTTTTTGTAGGATGTCGACGAGATCGCCGATAAACAGCGGAGTAAAGTGGAGAACTTGGCCAAATACGTCCATTTGCAGGAGGTAGGCACAATTCAAATTATTATTTCGGTCAGAAAATATTAACTATTTTACACCAAATCAGTGATAATATATTTAAATAAGTACCAATTATGTTTCTATCAAAAAGATTTAGGGAAAAAGGTAATGTAAGTCCACTGCTGTTTATCTGAAGTTGCAAGCCACAAATTGACGTTTAACTATGATTATTGCATGGTCATTTTCTTGTGAAATATTAGTGCTAGGCATTTCACACTTACCAATGACCACCCCAAAAGTACCATCTCTGAACCATATAAGCACCTCAGAATAGCCAAAGCTTTTATGGTTTGGTAGATAGCAGTATGGCGAAAGCGTCGTTTTTGGGTGTGGTCAGTTTCGGACGTTTCGTCCCGGATTGGGGTTCGGGCAGCGTTACCATGTTGACCGTCATGGTCAACTTGCCCTAAAACAGTTGAGATTATCTGTCCTAAATGAAATGCATACAAACTCATATACAGGTCCTAGACTATTTGATAAGTTTTCTTTGTTGACCCATACAAGGCATACAGACGAACAAAATTTGTACTTTGACAATTTTTTCTCTAGCTTTTGAACAAGTGCACCTTGTCAGAGAAAAATGTCAAAGTTGCGCACACAGACTGAGGAAATAAAACTTGCCACATAAAAACTTGCAGTCATAGAAAACTTGCTCGTCTGTAACCGGCTTAAATTTGGAGAATACGAACAATTGCAAAACATGTACAATTACATCATCAAAACAACTTTTTCAACTCTCGCTAGCGCTTGCGAACGCTTATGAACTATTGTTATTTTGACCAAGCCAGGAGAGTTCAGGAAACTAATGTAAACTCTTGTTTTCCAACAGTGGCGTAGCCCAGGGGGGCGACCGCCCCCCCCCCTCCCCAATCGAAAAAAAATTCTCTGAGAAAGGCTAAATCCGTAGAGAAATGGGGGTGGGGGCACACGTTACATCATCGAAGTTGAAACTGATTAAGTACGTCTCGACTGAGGAAAACGACGATATACTGGAGGAACGTGATTTGTAAAATATAGCAGTTGTAGGTTCCAAGAAGAATAGATTTAGTTTAGATTTACATGTATGCATTATCATAGCATGAATATTATTCTCAGACTTTTTCTGTATCGTATAAAAAAGCAACACAATTATTTTGAGAACGCGGAAATGCTGTCTCATAGAACCTAGAATGATTTAAATGCAACATTTCTGATCAAAATCACATTGGGAAATAAGGTGACGCTGACCGGCTCCTCCTGTTTCTCAAGGTGACTTTTCTAATTTATTTAATTCATTTATTTAGAAAATTAGAAATGTCTGGGAAAATTTATGTCTTCGATGAACTTTATAATCTTCGAAATTCTGCAAGATTTTGTTAGATATATAGATATAGACGGACAGTGGTCATACGCACGGACGCATTAGATATGTAGATCGACCATGCATTATGCATATATAGGTATTATT